CATCCATATTCATCACAATCTGATTTTTGAGTTCGTTTATTTTCTTCAAATAGTAGTAGGAGATATATTTAAAGCACTAAAGTTAGTCCTCGTGGGAACGATAATTCAGACTCTTAGGTCCACTATATTACTTGTTTGATATCGTACACTTGCGATATAAAAATAAGCAACACTCTCTATTAATTGAAACAAAAAATGTTTTCTTCTTCCATCGATCGACACAAACAACATTCTCCTATACCTCGTACGTTGTCCCAAAAAATTGCTTCGACATAGAAATGAGGTCACAGTAAACTTTACCTGCAAACTCAGCTTGAACTTCCTTAAATTTTGAAATTGTGTACATTGTCTGAAATTGCTTCTCTATTTCATATGTTGTAGCACACAGAACCATTTCGGAGAACGACTTGAAATCAGCCTGGAACTCCTTTTCTACCTTGTTTTTCATTGCTCGCTCATATTGTTCCACAAACTGTTTCAAAGCCGTTTTCGAGTGTACATACCCATTGAAAAATGCATTCATACTTTTCTTACGCTGTGTTGTCAAATTCCAGCCCAGAAAGTTGTTTTCAAGAAGCATGGTAGCCAACGAGATCTGTTCTAGTATAATCCCGACAACCAATTGTTATCGTGCAAATCATAAGTTTCGATCATCGATTCCCAACCTTGTTCAAATTCTTCAAACGTCTGGAAATCATAGACCAATACATGTATTGTCGAAAATATCGAACCCTTGTGGATGTGGCATCCAAATTGTTCTGGCAACTTCTTCAAAATGTGCCATAAACACCATCTCTGCTTCGTATTCGGAAAAATAATCTGAATCGCATTTTGCATAGCCTTATCTTGATCGGTAATAATTCCATGCGGAGCATGATCATTCATATACTTAAGCCATGTTCTGAACAGCAACACAAATGTATATGTGTCCTCATTTGAGACCAAACCGCAACAAAGTAGCTTTGATTGTCCGTGATGATTCACACTAACAAAAGGGGCGAAGGGCATGTCATACCTATTAGTCAAGTAAGTGGTATCAAATGTGACTCTTTATAAGCTTTCCTAGGTCGATTATCAGTTCAAAATACATTCTTTAGCTGTGAATCATCGTCTAAATCCATACAAAAGTAAAATCTCCCACACTTTGCGTGCATATCTGAAAAATATGATTGAAATGCTGCTGCATATCCATCTCCAAGGCTTAATCACCTCACTTGTGCAATGTAGTTTCGACAATCCTTCTCCACGCAAGTCATATTTTCATATCCACCCATTTCAACATCTGCAGAATTGAAAATTTTGTGCAATGGGATTCTTATCATGCTATTGACTTCAAGCTTTCGTTTCACATGTGCACTCAGTTCTGATTACATCGATATAACATCGACTTTGCAGGACTTGTTTTATGATTGTGATCGAGGTGCACTATGTTAATTTTCCAAATACCGTGATTATCTGCAGATGTAGAGATCCTGGCTTTACAACCTGTTTGACTTGTTGGCCGTGGTTTCAAAGAACAACTCGTGCTACGACTTCTTGCGCCTTCACGACTTCTTGAATGTTACATATCGCAAAACTCCGTCATCATCCTTTCTTGAGTTCCTTTTCCTCACCGAAAAACCTAATTTGTAAGCATATCTTTTACAAAAATCGAACACATCTTTTTCATCATTGATCCACATTCCTACCTCTGGCACAATTATACCATCTCCTAATACTTTTCATTTTCAACTATATGCATACCGGATTCCACATTCATATTTTTAGGCTCTTCCAAAAAATCATCTTCCATATCTTCCATCATTTATTCTCCTGAAATAAAATTTCAATTCAGTTTCAACAAAACAAAAAAAAATCTATAACTTGGCATTTATGCAAAAGAATGAGTTCAACATAGCAAACCATTTTCCCATGTGCAATTTGATTAGCACGAAAGAATTCATAAAATTACTTACTTCCCTTTATAAATATCCAGAATTCAGACACTTGAACAATTACAATATTAATTGAAATTCACACAATCAAATTGAAGTCTGGCATAATTCAAAAATCCAATTAAAGTTTCCTTGTACCGCTAATGCCTCACATTGTACAAGAAAAACCCAAGCTATTGCCATTGACATCTCTTCAAAATGAATAATGGCCGTCAGGAAAGAAACTCGTGAAATTTTCAGCTATGTTTAACAAATAACTAATCAGGAATCAAACTATGTTTAACAAAGAAATAATAAATAATTTTAATCTTTTAACTAAACAAATGCAAATATACCTTCGAATGAGAAATTATGCCTACAATGGAATTTACAAACTACCAAAGCCGGTACTCGTCGATGGTAGGGCAGGGTTCTATTTCGGGGAAGAAAAAATGGTAGTGCGGGGTTTTAATTACCAGTGTTGTCAGGGGAGGGAAAATGGACGATAGTGGAGGGTGGGGTTTGATTTTGGTGGTGGGAAAATGGATTGGAGTGCACTGGTTTGAGGGAGGAAAATTGGAAATTACTGTCCAAACAAATGACTCCCTTTCCATTCTTATCTTTTCATCTCAGCCATCCATGCCCATTTAGCCCCTGTTTGTCTATCATTTTTCAAAACATTGTTTTCTACAGTAATCAATTTCCACCACACATTCAAATAATAAAATACTCTACACATAAGCCGATAAAGTTTCTTTCAATTCTAACCACACATTCTCTAAAAAATACTATTCATTACACCATTTTCATCACAATAATGGTAGACAAACAAACACTTAATCTCCACCGTCCACATCATGTTGTGAGCAATGTTGTAAGCCAACATTGGGCAACAAGATTTTTCCATTTAGCCACTCATAATATTTAATTTAAACACTTAAAAATGGAAAGACATCACCAAATTTTGACGAAACATGAAGTTATATTTCTTAATTTTCAGCCACCAACTTCCGTCCACTGTGTGCGTGTATAAGCTCTTTTGATTCAGCCTTTATCTGCCACCTTTTGTACGTGAAAATAATATATAATTTCTACACCCTTTTTCCCATTTTGCTGCCTGATCCGTTTTCTTCAAATTCAACCACTGTTTTT